TGAAAAAAATATATGTTATGAAGATGAAAAACATTAAGCAAGATTTGTCTGAGCATTACATCCGAATTCCATACCAAATTTAAAATTAAAAAAAAATATGGAAAACAAATACTAATAATAAAAATAAGTAAAAATAAAAAGATAATTAAATTTAGTGAATGCGCGAGCATGTTTTCGACACCGCCATCTTTGGCGATTTTTCTTTTTTTTTTTGCATAGCTAAATGCCCTAAAAATTTACAGATGTGTACTTCACATAATACAAAATCCACTAAAAAAGGTTTAAAAATAAAATAAAATTGTTTAGACCCCGAACTAAAGTGAAAACAAAAAGTAAAAAGTGAAAAAAAAATGTTGGCGAGCACGTTTTGACACCGCCATCTTTGGTGATTTTTAATTCTCATTTGGCTGAGCCAAATGACTTGAAAATTTACAGGCATGTACCTCACGTCATAGAGAACTCACAAAAACAAAATCAGAAAAAACTAATTATTTTTAGGCACCGAAATAATTTTTGGCGGGGGACGAACACTGTCGGGTTCGGACCCCGTACGGAGGTCTGCCCGGGGACCTCCGTACGTACGGGCTGGTGACCCTATATATATATATAAGTATACATGTATGCCAAAGGGAGTGAATGAGTGGCAGACCTCACTTTCACAATTGCGGTGCACCCTGTCCGAATATCCCAGATGACCACTCAAGTTCAGAAGACAATCACGGCCCAAACACCTGTGTCAATGCAAGGAAGCTACATACACGCATACAAATGCAGACACAGAATGCACTACCAGCGTCAACCTTTAACCCAATCATGGCAAGTCCCTCACTCCCCCAAAACCTTGAAATAATACCCCTTCCTACTCCTGACTCTTCTTGCCCAGCCCCCTCACTTTTCAAAAGACCTTCGAGAGTGACCAGGACATTTCAGGCTTAGATTCAGGGGAAGATTCGTCCTTTCTCTTTTCTTGATTTTGTCTTAGGTGTGGGTATCAAGCCATGTGGAAGTTGAGTCGGAATTCTACCGACCTGTTATCCAATGATAACGGTGTCGGTGCGAATACCCTTACAAGGGTATCCGCCCTGGTTTTTGCAAGTAACAGAAAATTGTTTGGCTTAAAATTTAAGTATACCGCGCTAAGCGCAGCTGCGTTTGTAATTGCGTTGACTAGGTGGTTGACCACAATAGCGAGTGTGTGAACGCGCAG